ACGCTTTTTGTCCACTTTATTGGATAAGAGGGGGAAGCCATTCTCTGGTGGGATGTTCGCAGAGTGCGCGTTTGTTGCACATGCCTTGTTTCTTGCACGATTGGTTGCTGCATTTTGCTGCACGGCACTCTTGTTCCGCAAAGGCTTGCATGGAGAAGCAGTGGCTGCTTCCTTTGCAGCCAGCCAGGCTAAAAAACCTGGGAGTCCCACCATTTTTCTGCAAGCAACGGACAAAATCCTTCCCACCTGGAACCTACAAATTCGGGACACGTTTATCACAATGGGAAATAGTGAGAAATTGACGCACAAAAATAATTTGGGGCTGATGTTGCTTTGTGATCCTTGATGCTTAGAGAGATAAGTAAGCAAGGATTTTTGATTCATTTGTTTACCAAAACGAACTACAAACTTAAGCTCCACTGAAATAATTAGAGTACCCGTATACGCTGGAAAATACGGTAAGAGGAAGCTCAGCGGCAGGCCAGAGAGGAAACTTACCACTTTTGGTTGTTTCTCTCTTGCTTTCTGCTGCTTGCTCTCTCTCGCTTTCTGCCGCTTGTCCTCTGTATCGCTTTCCGCCACGTGCTCTGAAACCGAAACTTCCTAACTTTATATAGAAAAAAGCTGCGCATGCGCAAAGAGGCAGGAATGGCACTTTTGAAAGCCAATAAGGAGTAGGACAGCTAGGGAAAAGGGAAAAAAATGGCAGACAGCATGGTTTGGCGACCCCCGTGAAATGGTCAATCGACCCCAATGGGGTCGCGACCCACAGTTCTAGATAGTGTTGATAATAGAGCCCAACAGATTGCAAAAGCTTCCTTTTCCCACACAGCCCACCTCCTCTCACAGTCAGTAATTTTTTTTTGAGGTGTAGGCGCAGGGTTGTAGGGTCTCACTCTGATTGTTTTGAATAATACAGCTCCGACGGCCATATCACTGGCATCAGCCTGAATCACAAAGTGCTTCCCTGGGCAAGGATACTTTAAGACCGGTTTGACCGCAAATAATCTTTTTAAATTTTCAAAAGCAGTTTGACAGTTCATAGTCCATGCTAGTGGTTGGCTTGGACATGCTTTCCTCCCTCTTTGCCTGTTTTCAGTAATTCCATAAGGGGTAAGGCAATTTCAGCAAAGGAGGGGATGAATTGACAGTAGAAATTGGTGAATCCCAGAAAGCTCTGGAGCTGTTTGCAAGTCTTTGGGGTTGTCATTCAATTATGGCTTTTACTTTGGTTGGGTCCATTTCAATGCCCTTGCTGGAAATTCTGTAGCCGAGATAATCCAGTTGGGTCTGGTGAAACTCACACTTTGATAGTTTAACATAAAGTTTGGCGTTTGACAGTTTCTTTAGCACTTCTCTCACTAGTTTTACGTGGTCAGCCATGTTTGTGCTGTATATCAGGGTGTCATCAAGGTACACCAAAACCCCTTTTGTATAAATGGTCATGTAGTACCTGAATAATCAGCTGCATGAAGATAGCTAGAGCCTCTTGCAGTCCAAAAGGCATGACTTTAAATTGGTAGCTCCCCATCGGACAGTTAAAAGCATCTTCCACTCATCTCCCTCCTTTATCCTCACCCGGTAATAAGCCTCTCCCAGGTCCAACTTAGTAAAGACCCTCCCCTTTGCCAGGTGGGTCAGTAAGTCCTTCAGAAGGGGGACGGGGTATTTGTTTTCCATGCTCACCACATTCAGACCTTTATAATCTATGCAGAGATGAAATGACCCGTCTTTTTTTTCTTTAAATAACATCGGGGCTCCCACAGCAGACTTGGCACATTTGATAAATCCCCTCGCTAAGTTTTTGTCCACATACTGCTGCATCTTCTCCATCTCAAGGGCGGACATAGGATACATTCTCGGTCGTGGGAGTTTGGCTTGTGGTAACAGTTTGATAGAGCAATCATTGGGTCGGTGGGGAGGCAGAGTGTTGCATTCTCTCACTAAATGCCTCTGCTAGATCCTGGTATTTGCTGGGATGAGTGGCTCACCTGGTTGAGTCAAGATAGCCATTTGTGCTAGCTCATTGGGTGGGCTAGGTTCTCCTGTAATGTCCATTAAGTTAAGGGGGGCTTGGGTCCTTTACAGTCCTCATTCCCTTCTCCCACACGATAAATGGTTTCCATTTGTCTAACCAGGCTAGTCTTAGGATCATAGCCTCAATCATTTTCGGAGCCACCATGAAACAAATGAACTCCCAGTATTCACGTATTTCTAAGCATATGGGTTTGGTCAATTGCGTGACTAAAGTTCCTCCCATTAGGGAGCATTTGGCTTGCTCAAACCTCATAGGTTTGGAGAGCAGCCTTGCTCGCATGCCCATTTTCAGGGCAAGTGATAAGCTAATAATGCACTGGGAGCATCCGGAGTCAACTAGTACTTTCAAATCTACCTGTGCCCCCATCTTAGGGATTATGAGTTTGGCAGGTAGTGAAAAAGTGGGACATGTGTACTCACCATCGGGTCGTTCTCTTCTTCGTTGTCGCTGTCGTAGGAGGGTAGAGCGATGGCAGGTCCGACTGCATGGGGGATGTGACTTGGGCGACAGGTTCCTGTGTGATCCAGTTGGATTTCTGGGCTGGTTTCTTTCTTGCTGGTGGTCACAGTCTATTCTGTTGTTGAGGGTAAGGGACTGGGCAATTCACTGCTCGATGTCCCTGTTGTCCACATCTGAAGCACTTGATCAGTGGGCCTGCAGGTAGCCTGGGATTGTCAGTAGCCGTGGCGGTTGGAGGCTTTCGGGGGTGGTGGCTATCTTTGGGTTGATCTGGCCTCAGCTTGGCTTCTTGTAGGGGTGGCTTCTTATAACGGGCGAGCTGAACGTCTTACTGCTGCCTGGTACCATTCTTGCAGCTGATAAGGAACTGCTTGATAGTACAAGCCTGGGAGAGGTGGTCATCCAGTCCCTCCTTGAAGTGATGGACTAGGGATTGCTCGGGCCATCTCTTTATTCGGCCGGCTATCTTGCAAAACTCTTGTATGTATTCCAGTGCAGGCCTGCCAGCTTGCTTTATCTTGTAGACTTGCTCCTCCACTTTGAGGCAATGGATGGGTCCTTAAACCTTGCTCTCAGTTCTAGGAGGGAGAAATTGGGGTCCTTCAGCTCGGTACTTGCTTGTTATATAGATTGTTCAACCACTTGGATATTTCTCCTTCCAAGCTGGAAGCAACCACATTGACCATAGTAGCTGGGTTCAGGTAGAAATAGGTACAGTGGTTCAAGTGAGAGTGCACCTGATTGAGGAAAAAGATCAGCTTCTCCAGGTCCCCATCAAAGGTTGCGCTAAGAGGTGGCGCCATCAGTGGCTGCTGGCCTCCCTACTGTGGATGTTGCACCCCTACCGATTACTGCCCCTCCATGGCAGCTGCTGTATCCCCAGTTGCTGCAAGCCTCCCAGCAGTTGTTGCACGTTTGGAGGCTGTTGCCACCCCCATAGCTGTTCCTGCATTGCTGACGGCTGCGGCATCCGCAATTGCTGTACGATCCCCAACGGTTTCAGCAGCTGCTGTGTTGGCACCCCCAGTTGCTGCGGGCCTCCCAGTGGTTGCTGCATGTGACGGGGCTGCTGTCATCCCCACTGTTGCTGACCTGCAGATGGTTGTGGTATCCCCAGTTGTTGTGGGCCCCCCCTGTGGCCTCGGAGGTGGTTGTATTTGGATCCCTATCGGTTGCGGGGCCCTCAGTGGTTGCTGCACAATTGGAGGTGGCGGCCAGCCTCACTGCTGCTGCTGTACTTCCAGCGGTTGCAGACTTCCTGGTGACTGCATCATCCCCTGTTTTTACAAGGCCCCCATATGCTGCTCACATTCGGTGGCTGTGGCCATCCCCAGTTTGGTTGCTGCATAGCCAGTGACTGCTGGCTTCTCATCTGGGAAGGCTGCGACATCCCCCATTGCTGTATGAGACGGGGCTGGGTGGCCAGTAAACGTGTTGATCTGGGGTTTGGTTGTCCTGGTGATAGCTCAGGTTTCCAAAGACAAACAAACTCACTTGGGACTCCAGGAACAAAGTTTTATTGAAATAAAACTTTTGCAAAAGCTGGTGGACTGAACTCATGCAGGAGAAAAAGCCACATCCATAATTTTTAAAGGCACATATTTATATCCTCACATGAAGCTGGTTCCTCCCCACCCCTATTACACTCAACAGCCCATCTGCTTATCTCGATTAGCTAATCCGAAGCGCCTAAACAGTTCATACCCTCCCAGGAAAAAGCCTCTCTCACCTGTTGTATCTGTACTGTTTAACCATAACATTTTGCTGGCATAAGCTCTATCTTTATTTTTGTGTTTCCTCTGCTTGTGGTTAAGTCTAGCTTCTGTTGACGTACTTATATGTACCACAACAGCTATCTTGCATGTGCCAAAGCTCCTACTGTTAAAAGCTTAAGTTACTCCATTTTATAATTGTTAAACTCACTCCTTAAATCTTAGCTAAGATTACTAAGATTAAATGTCATTAAGCAATTTCTAATATATATATATTTACCTCTTACAATCTGGTAATTGAAAATGTGCAACTGTTGTTCTTCTTCATTCTGAAGAACAGAACATCCTGCATTTCCCCAGAACGTTGCGCTGAAATTGTTTTGCACATAGGTATTTATAAGCCAGTTTTCTTTCACGAATAACTCCGAACATGATAAATAGAAGATCAGTATTAAAAATAATTCCACATTGCTGATACAAAACAAGTAGTTCTCTGTAAATGTATAACTAGACAATGCATTAAAATCCATAAAAAGTCGTTCAGCCATTCCCAATGGAATAGTAACAATCACATGCAAATATCAAAACACTCTCTTATCTACCAAAGCTACTAATACACTCCATAAATAGAATTAACTTTATGAAATCCCTGAAAACAATAAAACACTAATAAAATAAAAATGCTAATAAAACCAAATAGTTTGTATGTTCATAGGAATATTACTGTGATCCTGTTTGGGAGGTGCATGAAGAAAGCTGGACTGCAGACAGGAAAATAATACTCAAATGCATTTAAAGATAAATTCAACTTTTATGGGTTTTGCATACATGTTCAGATCTTTTCAGTACAATTTGCTGAGAGAGATATAGCACGTTCTTTAAAGCTCACAATCTAATGCCATCAGTACAAGGGACAAATATTTCATTGCATGTAATTGTGCAGACATTTGATGCATACAACCACTTTTATGGGAAGCTTTGTGAGCTGCAAGAATACACTGATATGCAAGCTTGCTCTTTGGCATTCATATTCCATCTATACAAAGTACAACACTGGCATTTTTCAAGAATAAAATATAATCCCGTTTGAATAAAGATTATTTTTCTGCTTTCTAATAAGAAGCAGTACCATAGTGCTGAATCTTCCATGTACATCCTTTAGAGCAGGGGTCTTCAAACTTGGCCCTTTTGTGACTTGTGGACTCCAACTCCCAGATTTCCTCAGCCAGCGTGCCTGGCTGAGGAATTCTGGGAGTTGAAGACCACAAGTCATAAAAGGGCCACGTTTGAAGTCCCTGCTTTAGAGCCCCTTCAAGTATTAGAGTATTACTTTTACACACACTTGTGTGCACATGCATTTCTCTCAGCAACAATAACAGAATAAAAAGTAATTCTTGGCTGGTATTAAGCAAAATTAATACAAGTTTGCAAAATCATCCAAATAAATATTAGATGAGAGTCTAATATTACTTCTTGCAGAAAGCCAAGGAAAATGGCTTAAAATGGCTTAAAATGGAAAATGTTAATTCTTCTATAGAACTAAAAAAAAATAAATTAAGATGTTGGAATTCAAGGTATTGCTAATATAATGGTTGATGAGCCAGAAACCCCCCCATGAGAGAAATGGACACAATAGTTCTTTGGCCAGTCTCCAGTGTCAAAACCAATTTCTTATGAGGGTTGGCAAAAATATATACATAAAAAGAGAATAGGAGAAAATGTCTTACTGAGGAGAAAAGGTCTATCAATATTTATCTACAACTGGCTCTGTGTCTTAAAAAAAATTACTTTTGGCCTTTAAATACAATGAGGCCATCTCTCTAAATTACAGGGGTCTTCAAACTTGGCCCTTTTATGACTTGTGGACTTTAACTCCCAGAATTCCTCAGCCAGGCAAATTGGCTGAGGAATTCTGGGAGTTGAAGTCCACAAGTCATAAAAGGGCCAAGTTTGAAGACCCCTGCTCTAAAACTAAGTTCTCTGTTAAGTTACTTCATCAGATACTAATTTGTTATGTTTTCATAGGGAACATAGGGGAGGCAGGTGTCATCATCAAATTAAAAGTGATTGCATGTTTTGAAAGCCTTAACATATTTTTCCTGATATTCTCCAATTAAAACATTTGCAGCTGTATGTCCAATTAAAACATCAACAAAACCCAAATCCTCAGCTTACATAATGTGAACCCAGACAAGTGAAAGATAAAATGCAAGTCAATTGTTTCTTGCTTGTGTTTGATTGCAAATCTGTCATGTGTGAACTCAGTTCATGAAACTAGTTCCAGAGACTGACCCATGATTGGAATGAAGTTGTGCAAGCATGCATTTCAGTGAGGACCAGCCTGTCAGGGACGCAGCATGGCTGAATATGTGCATTTGAACCAACAGGCTCACAATCACATCCACAAGAAATCTAGGCAGAGCTGAGTATAATAGTGTGGGGAAGAGTATTTCCAGAGAGGGCAAAGCCTTGAGTCAGTGCTGAAGGTCAAAGTATATTTTCCATTTGGCTTCCAAAGACTTGGGAGAAAAAATCAAAAGCCAAGCGGACATGGATGGGGATGAAAACATAGGCTGTGTACACCACCATAGCAACAACAGTAATTATGATAGTATTGAACATGGATCGTTCCCAAGGCTCCAGGACATAACTGCAGGTGACCAGGAGATACTGAAAATGCAGCCAGTAAATGTAATCCTTAATTTTCTTCAGATCCATTGTTGGCTCAAATGTCAGGAAACCTAAGAGAAGATAGACAATGCAGAATCACAGTGAAAAAAGAAAACTGATTATCTGGTTATCAGTGTTCTAAAAAAAAAAGAAATATACTTCACCCGATGTATTGCCAACATATCAGAGCTGCATTAAATGAACAAGACCACCACAAATACCTCAAGCCAAGACATAGGTAGAAATATCTGTCTTTAAATTTCAATTATATTTTACATCCCCTCTTTTCTACTGTGAGAATGCCCCAAGGAGGCCAGTTTATTCCTTCTGCTCTGCGTATATATCAAGCCAAAACCCTGGCCCAAACTCTTTACGGAATTCCCATATGGATACGAGGTTTCAAGGATTGTACTGAAAGTACCCAGGCTGTTTTTCTTAGGAAACTTCTGGGTTTTCCTCCCTGTGTTGGATTTGCTTCGATGTACCTGGAACTGGGCATTCATTCAGTCGAATGCATGGTGTGGATTAACACCTTCAAATGGTGGTTTCGGGTGCTCTTTTTGGCAGCCCCTGGTAGCTACCTTCCCTTGTGTTTGCTGATTCTCATACTTCTTGTTGGGAGAGGGAACTGACAAAGAAACTCCACTTGCTAGGTTTTATGGGGGATGCTCTGGGAGATTATGGTCTTAAGGACGCCCAGTTTAGGGTAGTCCAACGGCTTGTGGATATAGATTTGCAATACTTAAGAGACAGAGCCAACAAAACCTACTCCCCTTTGATCTTTAGCCATTCTAATAATTATGGATTGAGGATGGCCTCTTATTTCTATACTCTAACCATCCCCAAGTATAGAAGAGTCTTTTCCCTAGCCCATTTCAATGTCTTGCCCTCAGCACTACTCAACAGGCGATTCAAGAGGCTCCTGTTTAGTGAGTGACTATGCCCCTGTGACAGGGCTGAAGTTGAAACTGTGGAGCATGTCTTATTATACTGCCCTATGTATAACACAGCCAGAATTAAATTATTGCCTCTCCTTAGAATTGATCCCTCTGGTTCTAATGTTAGTAATTTGGTTTTATATTGTCTAGGGGATGGCTCCTCCTATATTACTTCTCAGGTTTATAAATTTCTTTTAAGAGCTGTAACTATTAGAGGAGAACGTTGTAATTCCCTTTAGCCAAGGCTTCTGGTGTTAATTGTTTGTGATTATATTTTTCTTGTGTTTTCTTTTGTTGCACTTGCATTTTGGTCTGTGACCGCAAAATAAATTAATAATAATTAATAATAATAATAATTACTGTGAGAATGGCTGTGCCATAAAAGAGTATCTGCCCTAGACCATCACTGATTTTGAAACCCCTATAATCTTTTACCTCCCAGCAATATTTGGCAAATGAATCACTGGAAACATCCAGAGATGCTGAGCCTGAGCTTCTCCTTCCTTCAATGCTCGTAGGGTGCAAGCTTCTGCTGCAATTTAGCTCAGAGGAAATATCACTGATGTAAAATGTAAGATTTGCTTCCCTTTAGTATAGTCTCAGGGGACAAGCCATTGCAGAAAGCTATAACTGAGTTGGAAGGACCTTGGAGGTCTTCTATCCAACTCCCTTCTCAAGTAGGAAATGCTATAATAGTTCAGACAAATGGTAGTCCAATCTCTTCTTAAAAACCTCCAATGTTGGAGAATGCACAATTTCTGAAGGCAAGTCATTCCTTGCCTGAGTAATTGTTCTAACTGTCAGGAAATTTCTTCTTAGTTCTAGATTGGTTGTCTCCTTGATTAGTTTCCGTCCATTGCTTCTTGTCCTGCCTTCAGTTGCTTCGGAGAATAGGTTGACCCCCCCTTTTTTTGTGGCAGCTTTTTTGATATTGGAACGATGCTATCATGTCATCCCTAGTCCTTCTTTTCTTTAAACTAGACATAACAAATTACTGCAACTGTTCCTCATAGGTTTTAGCCTTCAGACCCATGATCATCTTTGTTGCTCTTCTCTGCACACTTTCTAGAGTCTCAACATTTTTTGTATGTGATGGTGACAAAAACTGGATGCAATATTCCAAGTGTGGTCTTACTAAGGCATTAAAAAATGATACTAATACTTCACGTGATCTTGATTTTATCCCTTTGTTAATGCATTTCATTCAGTATTCACTGAATAATACCGTTATTATAGTGAACAGTATTCACTATTCTATACAGTATTCACTTCCATCTCAACTATTTCTGAATCAATCTTACTTCTATTGTACACAATAAGCTGGCAGGTTGGAAGAAAGAAAGCTGGGATAGTTTTCCATGGGAATTCCATGGACCCAAATTAAGTATTGGTTCCCAGTTTAGTATTTGTCTCCAGAATATTTGAATTATCTGACCTCTTGCATCAGACACACAACTGAATAATGGAGTCACTTTTCCATACAGTTACACTGCCACAACAGAATATTGTCCAGTGCAAGAAACCAGAAACAATACAATACAAGGAGCTATTCAGGGTTTCATGTCTATTGTTACTTGCATGTAGATAAGAATTTTGCCAGACTAAAGTACTACTAAACAACTTCTAGATAAGCAGCCTCTTCCTCCCTATCAGTGAATCAAGACTAGCTAGACTTTTCACTCTTCAGACTCCACCACAAATGCCAAAGATTGACAGGAAATATATTATATGTTATATATGTTATGTTTATTATTTATTGTTGTCAGGCAAAAACACTTGTACTTATCCAATTATTTTAAAACTGAAAGGGTATTACAACCCCCCCACCCCCCTGTTTCACTACCCCACTTCTAACATTTCACAAAAATATTTTTTTGGAGCAACACATAATGGAAAACCTGAAAAACAGCTTCACCTTCTTCTGTGAAGACTGGTTTTTCTAGCTCATTTGATTCTTAGCATATCTAAGATTGGTTTGATCTATAAAGATAAAGTCAGAAGACTTGTTTCCAATGAGAAAATAATGTACATAGAAGCAATACTTTAAATGTAGAATATCTACTTTGTTTGCAGATGTTCTTCATTTTAGCATCCCCAACTACATATTGAAATACCGGTATTCCTTCTAATCATTGTGAACCAAATTGGAATACCAATCTGGTTGTATATATTTTCCTATGTATTTATACTTTTTCAATATTAAGAGTACCCAAAGAGCAGATTGTTAAAGAAAGACTTTGTTAGAACTGAGTAATTGATATGGTCCAAAATGAGTGTCAAATTTACATAACCTTTTGTAAAAATGTAGATATAACTCAAAGAAATGATTCTAATACTCTCAAGCTGCATGTATGTTTAAAATCCAAACCAAGTTCAATTGTTTCTTATGGACGGAACATTGTAATAGTAAAGCCACCACCCAATTAACGTTATCTTAAACTGCTCCCTACGTACATTGTCTGGTTTTAAAATCTACAACCAGACAAAGTACATAGACAGAATTACGCCCAACAGAACTCCTTCTGAATAAGTTTTATTGAATTTTTATACTGCCTTTCTTCCAAAAAAGAAAGTGGACAGTTCTTTTTCCATACTGTGCCTTTACTTGCTTACTCTTCCTTACTACTTTACTCTTCCAGTCAATATTCTGAGTGGCTGTCTTAGAATTATTTATTAATCCATTTGCAGAGCAATCTTATGCTCCAGTTGGATCTCTCCAGCATATCTCAGATCTTGTTAGATGCAGCCTGGCAGGTCAAAGAAACCTTTGCCTTCATGTTTTTCCAGTTTCTTTCTAAAAATGTATTTCCATGCCTTCTGTGTAACAAGCGGACAAGTCAAGATTTCACAACCCCATTAATGTCTTGGAGCAAGTAGCAAAGCAGGTCCTGAACATTGCTACCCCAGAGGCCAAAATGGCTTAAATTTAAAAAGAACTCAACAATCTTGTTTTTAAATGATACTCATATGTAACAGAGAGCACGCACCATTTTAGATGCTTTCCCACATATTCAAAGCCTGTCTGTCTGTCTATCTCTGTCTATCCATAAATACACCTACCACTGTACTGATTGTACATTCTATCCCAATAACCTATAAATCAATAAATGACCTCTATCCTGATAGATGATGAAAACATTTTAAACTGAATGAAAACATAGCAACCCTGAACAACGTATCAACAAGTTATGATGAAAGTTTAAGTGAAAGAGACTTCTTTAAAGCTGAAGCTTTTGTTCAGTCTGGCCTCTGTATTATGCCTCTTATCTTATACACTGACTGACATCTTTTTACTAGCAAAGATAGGCAAAATAATAGAAACACAGCAAGGATGTTGATTGTTCTTCAGAATTTTGCCAAGGATATATAGCAAATGTGAAATTTTTCTCTATCCAAATTGAATTTTTATAGATATTCTGCTCTACATTTTTTTCCTTTTTCAATGCCAGTTAAATCTTGCAGATAGTCAATTTGCATGTCAAAATATAATACAAATAAAAGCTGTCATTTATCTCTGAGTTGTTCTTCCAAATATCCTATTAAATGAAAACAACATAATTTTATTCACTGCAATGGAGGTGGTTTTTTTTTTAAATATTTTTTCACATTTAAACCAAACCAAACACCCAGAATCATTATGTGGAGGGAACAGGTCATCAAGAAGGAAGTTTCAGTGTAGTTCTTGAAGTAAGGATTAATTTTCTGTCAGGGAGAACAATTAATCAGTGGAACAACTTGCCTCTAAAAGTTGTGGGTGCTCCATCACTCAAGTTTTTAAAGAAGAGATTGGACAATCATTTGACTGAAATGGCATACAGTCTCCTGCTTGAGTAGAGAGTTGGATTAGAAGACCTCCAAGGTCCCTTCCTACTCTGTTATTCTGTTTTAACCTGTATTCAAACGTCAACATACAAATGCCCTGCGAGGTTATGCACAGTTTCTAGAAAAGTTTTAAACATTTGTCTAAAAACTTCTCTGGAGTTATACTGAATAGGGTCTCCTGCTTCAATAGAAGATTGGATTAGAAGACCTCCAAGGTTCCCTCCAAATCTATTATTCTGTATTTTGTTCTATGTATTTGTTGATGTAAGGAACTTTTTTTAAAGGCTCAGGAACAGACATTCTAAAATGAAGTTCTCCATTTAAGATGGAACTTAATTTTTTTATTACTACATTCTATCCAACAGTTGCAAGAATTAAACAGCAAATGTTAAAGAAGACATTAGTTTGGTTTGGAGCCTGAGGAAATCTTTTATTTCCTTCTTTTTAAAAATGGAAATCTAGGTTATCATTCGCATCAAGTCCAAGTACGAATTTATCTAGATCATTACTATCTCTACCCCATCATTGTGCAAACTTTTGACTTTCTAGGATCTATTGGAATCCTAGAATTCAAAAGTTCTAAATCTGACTAGAAGTTTCCAGACTTTCAAGTGGGAATCTTTCCCATCCCAACATAAATTCCTGAAGGATTGACTGGAATTTCTACATACAAAGAAGGACGTTTACTATGGTTTTCTCATACACAATAAACTGATCCTTCCAACAGAAGAAAATATACTGTATGTAGCTCAGGACTGCACTGAAGAGTCCTTGGTGCTCTCTGACCTTGGTTATTTGCTTACAGATATTTCATACCTCTCTAGGTCAGTGGTTCTCAACCTTTTTAATGCTGCAACCCCCAACCGGTCGTAAGTCGAGGATTATTCAACCGGTTGTAAGTCGAGGACTACTCAACTGGTGCAGCACCATTTGCAGACTGGGACTTTTGGCGGGCTCAGCAGGGCAGAGACAGCCTGGACAATTCCTATTGGCTTTTGAAAGCCAATAGAATTAGACTCTATTCAAGAGAGTCTATTCTATTGGCTTTCAAAAGCCAATAGAATAAACGGGAGTAGCACAGCTAAGGAAAAGGGGAAACAATGGCGGACTGTGTTGTTTTGTGACCCCCGTGAAATAGTCGTTCGACCCCAAATGGGGTCCCGACCCACAGGTTGAGAACCACTGCTCTAGGTGATGAAATCATCAGTACTTGTAAATGGGGGCTTGCTCCCTGTTTATATACAAGCTTGCCTTGCCATATTGGAGGGGATAGGGCTTTGGTAGTTCCTTGATTAGGGCATTGTTTTCTGCTTATTTTTTTGTCTGGTGTTAATCCCTGCTTATCTGGTTGTTGACTGTTGAAGGCGTGTTTTTGTATTTATGTTTCCTTCTCAGCTTTTTTGTGTTTTTTGAATGGTGTATAAATGTAAATGTCTCTATGTGTTTTTTGATGCTGATTTATCTGAATGCCAAGCTTCCAGGAAATCCTTAGTGTCTGGGGATTTAGTCTGGACTAGGATGCTCAGTTTCCCAGTTAAAACTATGACTGTCTATCCATGAGTTATGAGATTAAGAAGTTTTAATTGTGTCTCTTGACTGCTACTTGGTATTCATGGATGCATTCTGCTAGTCATCTGTTTGTCTGTACTACATGGTGGCTGTTATAGTCCTTGTAGTGTACATTGTATATGAGCTTCTCTTTCTTCTTCTTGGGCTACTGGGTCTTTGGATTTTACCTAAGGTGTTTTGGAAGGATTTGTAGTATGTTTGTTGTTTCTTAGACTTTTTTATGCCTGGCAGTGTTATTATTCTCATAGCTTGTTTTGATTGTGCTGTAGTGGATTTAGTGGTTGGATACTTTTTGATAAAAGTTCTATGGATATCTTCTTTGTTGGAAGTTGTATAGTCAGTCTGTTTCCTTTTTCTGGGTTACTGCAATGTGTTTGGACTTGTCTGAATAATGTGCTTACACAATTCTTGTTATGCGGTTGCGTTGTTGAGTAATTGAGCACTTGGTCAGGGTAGGTTGTTTTCTAATACACTTGTGTTTCAATACACTTGTTATCTCTGCTGATAAGGATATCTAGAAAGAGTTATATGCTGTTGTTTTCTTTTTCCCTTGTAAATTTTATTTATTTGAAGATGTTGTTTCATGTGTCTTAGGTTTATTATTATTATTATTATTATTATTATTATTATTATTATTATTATTATTATTATTATTATTATTATTATGGTGAGGGAATTGTCTATGGCTAGTTGTCTGTGTAAGTTGAGTCGTGTGTTTGTTAAGCAAATCACATGGTCATTAAGCAAAGTCAGCTTCCCCAAAGGACTCTTTTTGGAGGAAGACTGCAAAAAAGATAGATGGACAGTTTAGAAATAAGAAATATCAATTAATCAATCAACAAAAGAGCCGAGGTGGCGCAGCAGTTAGAATGCAGTACTGCAGGCCACTTTAGCTCACTGTGTTCAGCAGGTCAGCGGTTCAAATCTCACCGGCTCAAGGTTGACTCAGCCTTCCATCCTTCCGGGGTAGGTAAAATGAGGGCCCAGATTGTTGGGGGCAATGTAAATATATATATATACATTGCTTACTGGTGTACACCGCTTAGAGAGTGCTTGCACTTAAAGCGGTATATAAGTCTCATAAATAAATAAATAAATAAAGAAAAAAGATTGCAAAACATGACCAGGTGACTACAGGATGCTGCAATCAGTATAAATTCAAGCCAGTTGCAAAGGGATCAAATTATAGGCACATGACCGCAGGGGGTAATGCAATGGTCATAAGAGCAAATATCAGGTTGTAAGTCACTTTTATCAAGACGATCATTCTTTATAAAAAAAGAATGGGATAAATTGACAAAGTCAATTTATTTGACCAGGATTAAAATGGGATAGATTATTATTTTGGGTGGTTCTCTTTGGATTTACTGATATCTTAACTGGTAAATATGGTATACTGAATTTGTTTACATTGAATATGGTGCTTAATCCTACCCCCCCATTATTATCTTACGTCATTTAATTTTATAGGATTTAAACTGGCTCTATATCTAAATGATAACTAAAAATTAAGAATGTTTAGTAAATTTGTCTTTTTAAAGGAAAATTTTGTTGTTAAAATTAAAATAAAATAAGCAAGAAAAGATCATCTGTCTGACCTTGATGAATATAAATCATCAGGACCAAATGGATTACATCCCAGAGTGCTGAAGAAGCTGGCAGATGTTATTTCAGAACCATTGTACTATATCTTTAAAAAATCCTGGAGCACTGGAGAACTACCAAAGGATTGGAAAAGGGCTGATGTGGTTTCCATGTTCAAAAGAGGAAAAAACAAAAACAAAAAACAGACTCAAGAAACTACAGACCAATCAGCCTAACATCAATGCCTGGGAAGATACTGGAAAAAATAATCAAAAAACAGATCTGTGAACAGCTAGAAACAAATAAAGTTGTAACTACCATATATGCCGGTGTATAAGGCGACTTCCGCAAGTGCTAAAATCGGCGTCAAAGATGGGGGTCGTCTTATACGCCAAGTCGTCTTATACGCCGGAAATACTGGTAGTTTCCGGCATATAAGACGACGTTCTAGGAATGCGGCTCGGCAACAAAGACGGGGGTCATCTTATATGCCGGGTCGCCTTGTACGCCGGCATATATGGTAGTAGCCAGCATGGGTTTGTTAAAAACAGATTATTTCAAACCAATTTTACTTCATTCTTTGACAGAGTGACTAAATTGTAGATCAGTGTGGACATAGTATACTTAGACTTCAGTAAGGCATTCAACAAAGTAGACCACAACCTATTCTTGGTAAACTAGAAAAATGTGAGATAGACAACATCATCACCAGATGGATTTGTAGTTGGCTGACAAACCATACTCAATGAATAGTCTTAATAGTACTACATCTACATGGAGGGAAGTAAGCAGTGAGTTACCATAAGGTTCCACCTTAGGCCCAGATGCTTTTCAATATTTATGATGGTCGCAGTGGCCTGGGGTCATGTGATCCCCTTTTGCGACCTTCTGACCACCAAAGTCAATGGGGAAGCTGGATTCACTTTACAGCTGTGTTACTAACTTAACAACTGCAGTGATTTGCTTAACAATTGTGGCAAGGAAGATCATAAAATGGGGCAAAATTTGTTTAGCAACTATCTCAGCAACAGAAATTTTGGGCTCAGTAAGTCAAGGACTACCTGTATATAAGCAGAGCTACCACTGTAATGGATTCTGCCTATCACAGTTACCGTATAACTCATGACGGTTGCAAACCTTTGCTTCATTGGGGTGAAGAGAAAGGATCTTCTTTGTATAAGGGGAATTCATCAAATTTGCAAATGACATTAAGCTGGCAGGAATAGCCAACACACCAGAAGATAAATTCAGGATCCAAGAAGATCTTGTAACTGTCCCATTTTCTAATCAGGAGCTAAAAAGTGAATGGCAAAGCTCTGTTTTAAGAACTTTTCAGGTGAACAAAAGAGCTTTGAAGCCAATTAATCTGAAATTGCCTCTATCTTGCTTTTAAAAAGGCTCAATTTGATCCAATGGTACTAATGATAGGGTAAATCACAAGTATAGATATTAACCTGAAAAAGTTTCTGTAGGAATATTGGATATTGCCTCTGTAGATCTGACCTCCCTTCCAGAATTTTTCTTGGCAGGATAAGTACCTCTACATTATTTAATTAGAACTCTTTGGATCTAAGAAACAGACTGTTTACCTATTATGATTTCCTATCAGTCATAAAAAGGTTACTCTATTAACACTAACCAAATAGGCCGAAAACAGTCAACAAGTTTTTGAGTTCCACAAGGCTCTTTATCTGGCTGGATGCAAAAATGGAAGTTGGGAAGAGGAGAAGAAAAAAAAAAAAGCTGGCTTATTATTACAGGACAAAATTGAGTCTTGCATGTATTCCTACTTTTTTTTTAAAAAAACTTTGCCTTTATTGATACAATTGTTTTGATGTGACTTGGAAGAATTTGTATTCTGTGAACACGTGCAGACTACTTTATGCACGGATATGCATCAGGCACCACACACACAGCAAGATTGAGGTCCAAGTGTCACCCAAAGGCTCAGAGCCAAACATAAAAATTTAAAAGAGCTCCTGCATGAAAGAGGTACTCACCTTAGTGTTCCAAAGGGATAGAAAGGAAATAGACGGTGCTGGAAACTCCTTTGCTAGCTGGGCTGGCTACTAAGAATCAGTGGTTTAATAAGTTAGGGTTTCTTCACTAATCTCTAACTCCACCCTGCTACAGTAAACTCCCTTCTGCAGCCAGCCCAGTTCCAAAGATTTGGTCATTGCTAGGGACAAACTTTCCCATAGCTCCGCTGCCTCCTTTTTACAGGAAATAGGACGGGATCAAGAGCAAATGCAAGTCTGTCCACCACCTCCCGCTTTAGACTTCAAGCCTGCTGGGCGCCCATCAGCATCTCAAACAGAAGCGCTGCTAAGGTGCACTGCTGCTGAAACCCATGCCGGGAAGCCACCGCTGTCACTTCTGCAGTGCCGCAGTGCCAGGAATATTTTAAAGACGGCTAACCGACCGGGATAGGATTATCCCCCCCCCTCCCCTTTCCCTATTTAACGATTTCTTCCTTCTCAAATCGTTAAGGTATTTTAACGGAGATGGCGGGAGTGGGAGGCTGCGGAAAGATCTTCCCGCCGTTAGTCCGACCTAACCCCCCAAACGGTGGGATAAAGCAGCCCTCCGTCACCGTCTGAGGAGACTCACGAATTTAGCTGGGCTCGCCATAAATTGCGGGGAGATCCATTGGAAGGTATCTCTCGCCTCGCTGCTCAGGCGCTTTTACGAGGCTCTGAGCGTCTTTGGCATTTTTCCCCTCCCTTCTTTCTTAGCCGAACGGGGCGGATAAAGAGAGGAGGACAGCGGCATCGCTGCGCAGGAGCGGCAGCTATTTTGTCAGTCCACGTTGGTCAGGCGAATGGGGAAAAAAAGAAAGCAAGGTTAAAAACAAACCAACCCTACACCAGTATCTGCAGCCTGAAGGAAAAAGCTTTCTCCCTTCTCAGGAATCGCCGGGGATCCCGGTTAACTTTCCATGCATTTTTAATAATAATAATAATAACAGAAGGTGGGGACGAGAGAGGGTTGGAAGCGGCGCAGAGACGGAGGGCGCCGAGGAAACGCCGGCAGAAGTCGGATGGAGAAAGCGCTGGGACTGCGGAGCCGCTGAGTGCGGCATAAGGGACGGGAAAGCCAGCCGTTCCCTTCTCCGCCAAGGAAGCCCTATGCGGCCGCAAATCGCTGACCTCCCGCAGAGAGTTTCCGCCTCACGCTGGGAGACGAAATTCTCACCTTCCCCCTCCCCACGGGAATTCTGTGTTTTTGGAAGAAAGAAAGAAAAAGAAAGAAAGAAAGATCCAACCATCTAACCTTTTAACTCTATTCAAAACATTCCCCCCCCCCCGTTTTTAGTTATCCACTGAAATTTTCTTAAAATCAATTACATTTAAATATCTAAAACATGTGTTTTATGTTGATCATCCCACACAAAATATTGCACCTGTTTATAAATTTGTTCTCTTCACTTATTGCAATGACCCTTGTTGAAAGAAAAGTTTTCATCATGGTTCAGTCCAAGCTGGGAATAAACAACATGGCGACTGCTTTAGAAAGAAGGTTGCAGTTTATTGAAGAGGAGAGCCAGACAAAAAGATGGCTCTGGAAGAGAGAGAGCACATGTAGGGAATGCGTTTTTATACCCTCCAGGGCTTTTGTTTGGAGTTGTTTCCTGTTCCTCTTTGAGGCTTTGTATTTCCTGTGTCATGTATTCTGACCTGAGTCTTGGTGTGCCCTTTGGCATCTGTGGGTTAATCTTATTATGTCCTCTGTTAGAGTTTGGGTGGGGTAGTAGTAGATGTCTTTGTTTTCTTAATCTTCTAGCTTCAACCTTCCTGTATGATTTTCATCTGCATTTTTATAGAAATGGTTTCTGCTTGGGGGAGGGAGACTTGGGGATATTAAGCAAAAAACTGGGCATGCTTTTCTGCCTCTTTAAGATCCTTTGAGGAAATATTATTTTCTGCCCTTTTAATATTTTCTTCTCTGGGGTGGGCTGACTTCCTACACCCTGCAAGAAATAGGTGGGGAGTCTCTGCAGTGTTACCCAAGGTTTAACTCTTCTTACATGAATGCTATGTAGCTTATGAGAAAATATAAACCAATATCTGTTTCATGCTTATTAAATGGTACATGAATGAATTCAGTTTTTCCAAGTTTGTTTTACCGCAACACATAACAGTTTTAGCTGGCACACTTGCATTTTAACCTTTAATTTGTATATTACATTTACATTCTATGTTTTGTCAAAGAGAGCAAGACATGTTGCATCCATTTCCAAATTAATCCAACAAAAATTCTGTAAAAAAAAAAGAATATTTGTATCTCATGGACGAATTGTTGGGTCCTTGGTGCTCTCTGAGCTTGGTGGTTTTCTTGCAGATTTTCAAACCAGGTAACATTATCAGTTCTAGAAAGGAATGAGATTTGCTCTTATTTTTATATACTAGTGGCTTGTCCCATCAGTGCTAGTGGGAGTGGTCTTAGTGGTTCTTGATTAGGCAGTTGATTACTGCTAGCTTACCAATGTAGACAAGCTAACAATAAACAATAGTCTAATCAAGGAATCACTAAGAAATTATCATAAACACTGACAGTGCAAGCCAGTATTTATAAAAATAAGAGCAAACCCCACTCCCTTGTAGCACTGATGATGTTACTTCATTTGGTAATGAAATGTCTGCAAGAAAATCACCAAGCTCAGAGAACATCAAGAACCCCCACAACAATCCTATAAGGTAGTTTGCACTAAAAGAATGCCACTGGCCCAAAGTTAGTCACTGAAGGAGCACTTGAGGCCAGATCTTCCTGATCCTATATCAAACAGTATAGCAAAACACACTGGCTCTCTCTTAACTTCCATCCTTGCTGTATATAAAACAACAGAAGAGGGAGGAAAGTCTTCAGTTTGCCAGCCTGTACTGATTGGAAGCGCATGAGAAGTATTCTGAGGTCTCTATGGATAGCAGCCAAGTTCTTTAATTTGATTATATGCTTGCGATGGACCATTTAAGTATAATCCCCTTTTCTTCCTCCAAAAGGAACAAGTACAAACTAAACAAATAAATAAACTCACCTTATCACCAGCAAATTGCAAATGCTTATTAATTGCCATGCTTAAGTGCAAATCTAAGCAACAGAATTTTGCTATTTAAGATGAGACACAAGACATCAGGTGATTTGTACCTGTATGGTCTGCTACTGTCCAGCTGTCAATTATTATAGATGGTAATTCCAAAGCCCAGCTCCTTTTTTTTTGGGTCTTTTATCCTTAGTTCTTATTTGAACTGCATAACCTTTTAGAGAATTGTTCATTGTAATGTAACAAATACAGTACTGTTGCACCTCTTGACAGATTGCTGGCTTTACATATTTTTTCGACAAAGGTTATTGTGAAATGTCAGGTGTATATCACATCCAAATGTCAATAGACAGAAAAAGTGTCTATACAGTACTTCTATACTCCTAAAAAGAGTTCAAGCCTACTTCTCATCCAGCCCAGGAACCACTTGCACTCATGTGTAGATTGTCTGGCCTTTCCTTATCTGGCTACAGTGCTTGAGAGATACAAAATTTTAAGTCAGTAAGAAAGTCAAAATATAAACCTACAACTTAATACCACTTTATAATGCCTTGGTAAGGCCACACATGGAATACTGCATCCAGTTTTGGTCACCACGATGTGAAAAAGATGTTGAGACTCTAGAAAGAGTACAGAGAAGGGCAACAAAGATGATTAGGGGACTGGAGGCTAAAACATATAAGGAACGGTTGCTGGAATTGAGTATGTCTAGTTTAATGAAGAGAAGGACATGGGGGGACATAATAGCAGTATTCCAATATCTCAGGGGCTGCCACAAAGAAGAGGGAATCAAGTTATTTTCCAAAGCATCTGAAGGCAAGACCAATATGGGGCTGCCACAAAGAAGAGGGAATCAAGTTATTTTCCAAAGCATCTGAAGGCAAGACAGATGGAAACTAATCAAGGAGAGAAGCAACCTAGAACTAAGGAGAAACTTCCTGACAGAACAATTAACCAGTGGAACAACCTGCCTCCAGAAGCGGTGAATGCTCCAACACTGGAAGTTTTAAGAAGAAACTGGACAGCCATTTGTCCAAAATGGTATAGGGTTTCCTGCCTGAGCAGGGGGTTGGACTTGATGACCTCCAAGGTCCCTTCCAACTTTATTATTATTATTATTATTATTATTATTATTATTATTATTATTATTATTATTATTATTATTAATAAACTCTCATCTCAATAAAACATAGGGCTGCACTGTATGTTGACATTTTTATAGGTCCTTATAAGTGGAAGATATGAATGCAATGTCTGGATTTATTTGACCCTTTGATTTGAAGAAATGTGATACAAGGCTTCTCGGTGTCAGAATGAGTAATATTACTTTTGATGCTAAAATGTATCTCCAATGACTTCATTGAAGTTTTTGTGACAACAGCATGGAAGTGATTTGCTATTGACTTCTACCAGGAAATAAGGTGACAATGCCTTGCAAGGGACTATGTGGTCACATTAATGAAATTTTCTGGCAACAATGCAGAGGTTATTTGTCTTTGCCTGTTTCCAAGAGATATTTTTTCAGCTTCCCAGTCTAGTCCACAGCCCAAAGATTTCTCATTACTGAGTCCAGAGAAGTTTGGCTAAGTGTTATCACTAGTTATTGAATAGCCTGAAAAAGCTTTCAGGTTAAGGGAAGATAGGCCAACCATTGTGTTCAGTTACAGTGGGAAAAATCATAGCTGTTTTTTAATACTATGGGATGAAACATAACACTTCAAGTTTCACTTGTTTTCAGTAAGCGATTGAAGATATTGAAACAAATAAGTGTGCTCCTGGAGGGAAAATAGGCATACTTGCACATATATGTTAATTTATTAATTATATGTATATCTATATTTCTAAATTTGTTAATTCTTACTTTATAGAAAATAATTATAGAATGAACATTCTTTTATTTTCCTTATTTTTATACTAAGCTGCTAATTTTAGTTTCCAAGAAAGGTAGCAACTTATTATAGAACATATGAGAAATTCATCAGAAATTGTAATTTGTTATGCTTATTTGGAAAGATAAAAAAATAGGCCAATAAAGAAAGCCACTGTCTCTGTCTTTTGATATATTTCCTAAATTCTATATGCTTGTACAATATACTGATGTAAGTACCATTAATTATGGGATATATGAATAGTTTAAATTAGCCTGCACCAGAGTAAAACTCTACAAATTCAAGACTGCAACAACTTCATCTTTTCCATCCAGCATGGTTTGATGGTAATAATAGTAAAATACACGTTGGAGATGCTCCAGGCAAGAGTGATTCCGGTAGGAACCAGGAAATAAGATAAAAGTTTCATATAAATGTCTAGAGTGTCCTCATCACCTGCATCTTATTTTTATATCATTAGATCATAAAACATTCCTTTCTCTTTTAATTAAGCTAGCCCAATGCTCTTTTCTTTCGTCAAAGTGATTATTTTAAATATGTTTTATCTAGGCAGCCCAAAATAAAATAATGATTTTAAACTATAGCTTTTTAGATAAAATGTAACTTAATATAGTTTAAGCTAGGAGTGCAGAGAATAAGTCTGTGGAGATATGGATAGAAAGGTATTCTTTTGTTTTCATTTGAAGAGTCTTGAAGATGATTAAAAAGTAAAAAGGATTACTTTAAACCTTTCAACATATCATTGGCAGCCCTCCATTATCATCTCAAAATAAGCGAGTCATGGACAAGGAAATAAATTCAGTACATGTGTCAAGGGGATTTTAACATGGGAAAATAACAACTTGGTGTTTTTAAAATAACAAGTCATCTTTTTTATAGGAAATATATATGTGCAATGATCTAACTGTCAACGCTGCTAACATCGGATGTTCTTGCTTTGACAACAGATGGAAATGTAGCCATCTTTTCCCTTTCGCTTTTAGAGTTAGATGATGCTGACAGGGGCATGTGAATGAGAGTCCAGTTAGACATAACAACAATAACTCAGCTGTGGGAATCAAGGTTATTGAGCCCAGAGCTGATAAAGATTTGGTGGGTTGGAGAGCTGGGGAGAAAGCCTGTGCTTCAAGCTAATAGGAGAATGTGATTTATGACTGTTAATTGGAGGAGTGAATTGTGCTTTGATACCTTGTTGGGTGGAATTCAGTTTTTGTCTTTAACTATGTTTCTCTGTAAGATCTGTTTCTCGAATAAAAGATTCTTTAAGGTAAACGATGCTTCAAAGTTCTTTTAAATAGTTTCATTTGCCAGAACCATGACACTGATACAAGTCAGTAACATGCAATGATATTGATAACTTTTAAACTCCAATACTTGTCC